TCTAAATAAAATTCCTGAATTAGAGATGTATTGTTTATAATTTTTTAAGACGCTGAAATAGATACATGACTATTAGCATAAAAATTTTTTTAGTATCATCTCACATATGCCATCTTTTCACATAACAGTGGTATGACTTACCCAACTTTGGGTGTGATACATGGGAGATTTGAAGAGATCTAGCATTTTTGACATCAAATACATTCAGATTATTCATTCAACTTTTGCCCAGAGCCCACCACATACAAAGCCTTTTATGCTAGATGATGTGGGATTACCTTTATTCTTAAGTGGTGCTGTTCTAGTAGTGATTGTAAGCACTACTACTTATCCAGCTACTTAAAAAAAGAAACATGCTTTATCATTTTCCACCTAATTATAAAAGTAATAAATCCTCATTTCAAAAAAAAATTAAAGAAAATATATTTAAAGAAAGAAAAGAAGACTAGCAATTTTTCATTCAGAGATAACTGGATGGTTACCTTGGTATAAAACTCGCTAAATTTGTTTTCCATAATACATCTACTAATTTATTTTTAAGTAACTGGTCATACTACTTATGCTATTTTTTAACCATTTTTAAAATTGCATGTATCATAGTCATGTTTGGATATACCGTAACTTAATTTCCTAATGATTTATGTTACCATTTTTTTAAAATGTAAAAACAATGCTACAATGTATGTTTTCTGCACACATGTCCAATTATTTACTTTAAATAAATTCTTAGGGGTACAAGTGCTAGGCATCGACATTTTAAAATGACAAATAATACCAAACTTCAACTCCTCGCATCACCTTTACTTAATGGCTACCTAAAAAAAAAAAATTCTGGCATACAGTAGTTGCTTGAATGACAACTGATGCATCAATAATGAATTAAAGAAGGTCATACGTGGAGTCCCTTCATTTCTACCTAGGGATAATGCTTTTTTGAAACTACAGCAAGCAACAAGGCGGGGTAGAAAGATTCAAAGACTTAAGTTGTAGACTCTGCTCTGTGTATCCTCACATAAACCATTTTAGCCCTCTTTCTGATTAATATATATTAATTCCTTGTGGTTATTGATAAAATTAAATAAAGATATGTAAAAAGATTCTGTAAAATCAATCCAAAGACTATACGGTTATATTAATCCAGTGCCCTAAATATAGTGAAATTTAAAGACTGCCAGACTAACTTACTTCACAAACTCAACCCAACCTTGCTATTGTTCCCATTTTGATCTTATTCTCCAATTTTAGTAACCAGATTCCTATCCTTTTCTTTCTATGTTTGTTGCCTGATTCCACTACAAATGGAATGGGATTTCACCTCCGACCCCCTAATCCCTGCTATACAGAATTCTGTCCACTGCCCAATACTTCCTACCTTCCCAATGTGATCTCAGCCTGTAAAGACTTCTCTGCCTTTTCCTGATAATTATCCGCCTTTGGTCCTGTAATCACAACCAGTCTTTTTCTGACTTATCTGAACATTACCAATTTTCATTTACGACATCAATGATCATTAACACCTAAACTCAAAATGTCCTGCTGCTAAGACTGACACAACATTTTAAAAAGGTTAGTAAATGTGTAAAAATGAACTGGAATGACATTTCTTCTTTAGTTCCAAACAGCCATTTCTAGCTGTATCATCTGCTCACTCCTTCACAGACCTAATTATCTAATCAAATGGGAATACTCATCTCTTTTGAACATGCCTAACCGTATCTTTGGTCAAAAAGTTCTTTCCATGTAGAAAACTCCAAATTTAATTTTCCCAAACCTTAACAAAATAACACTTCATCTATGAATGGTTCTGATTACTGTGTCTAGAGTGACTTCTTCAGAATTCTCATAGTCCTCTGCTGAGCATTTTTTATGGCTTATAATTATTCTGTTTCATATTATGGTTCTAATTTCTTCTACCTTAGATCTGTGCTGTCCATTATGGTAGCCAACAGCCACATGTGGCAATTGAGCACCTATAATGTAGCTCATCTAACTTGAGATCAGTACAAAACAGAATGCAAAACATCCCATTAAATTTTTTATATTTGATTACATATTGAAATAATTTTGATATACTGGGTTAAATACAACATGTTAATAAAATTAATTTCACCTGCTTCTTTTTGTTCTTTAATGTGAAATTCAAAATTATGTATTTCTATTGGACAATACTTTTTTTTTTCTCATTCAATTTACTGGGGTGACTGGAAGTGCGGCTTTCAACAGAGCCCCTGCATAGTTTACCAAGCTGTTTTCTGCAATAGCGATTCGGCAAAGGGGTGAGATAGGATAAAATCAAGACCAAACTCCATTCACGAAGCCATGCACTATGCAGGAAGGCTATGTCTGCTCAAGGAAAGAGAACCTGGTGCTTCCATTATGCTCTCCCTCACCAAACTGTAAGTTCTGTGTGTTCGGGAGGGTATGCCTTTCTTTAATTTTCACAGGCATTATATGTGCTAACAGTTGCCCCGAGAGGGGAACCAGGTCTTACTCATGTTCTGTCTGTCAAATAATAATCACTAAAAGTAGCTGAATGAAGAAATGAATGAGTAACCAACTCTATTACCTTCCTCAAGCACAACTCTTCTCATCAGTTGCTGAGAACATTTAACATTTTATCTGATTAGAGAATACAGCTTTCACTAGTGCCCACCACAAATCAGATTTATTGTTTAACCTCAAGACTCAAATTTTTCTATCTCTTCTAGATATTATAGCACCAAATCAAAAACAGTGATCATATATTTTTTATACCTTTATACTTCTAAATAAGCACGTGATAATTTGCACAAAATACTTATTACATGTTTACATATTTAAAAGATCAGAATAAATATAAATACCACCAAAGAATCCTCAATTTTTTCCCAACAAACCTGACTGCATTTCTCTTCTTGTCTCAGAATACTTGATCTTGGGAGATTTCACAATTTCAGAAGTGCCTGAGTCTACTGTCCTTACTCTTCCTTCGGGACACAAGTCTGTATTATGTTGAATATTATTTTTTTCCCCTTTTGTACTTTTTGTTATACATTCTTCACTACCTTTCTTGAGACTTATTTTTGAATCTACTTTCTTCAATTTGCAGGAGTTTTTCATTTTCTGAATTATGTCAGAGTTATCTAAATTGTTTTTATTTCCAGAATCCTTTTGGTTAATTTTCTTGCTTTCTTTTTTTTTCTCAACTAGATTTTTTGCCTCTACTTCATTTTTCTGGTTTTTTTTCTTCTTTATTTTCTTTTGGTTCAAAGCTTTGTTATCTTCATCTGAGAGGTCTGAATCAGAATCTGAAAGGTCGTAAAAACGTTTCAAATCCTCTGTAGTGCTGTGGTTGATGGGGCGTCCTCTTTTATCCACAGCATAATTCAGCTTGAACTTTTTGTCATGAAACATTGCTCGAAATCTCTTGTCAATTTTGACTTTTCGATCCTTTTCTGGCATTTCCCAAAATCTAGGGTCCTTTGTAACCCGCTTAAACCGCTGGTCACTCATTACTTCTTGTTTAAATGCCATTTTTAAATGTCTGACTGGACAAATACTTGAAGAAACTGAATACTGAAAAATAAAACAAATGTTACAATAATGAGAGGGGAGTAATATAATTAAATGAGATATTTTGGGAAAAATATCAATTTACAATATAGTTTAAGTGCAAATAAAAGTAACCAGTCTCATTTCATTTAGAAACTTATTCTGAGTCACATGCAGAAAACCAAAAACTATTAGAATATTTTCCTTAGGTTACAGAGCATTCGAAGAAATAAATTTAAGGCAAAAGCAAGGAGAATTCTAGGGCAAATGCTTACTAGCTAGTTGCACTCACTTAGTTTTTGTGTCTCTGTCTGTATACAAGTTAAAAGCTAATGTGATTAAGATCCCCCAGCTCCAACGGGTCTCATTTTTTCCTTCACAATATGGTCCTACTCTCTGTTAAACCTTACTTCATGCTACTTCACAGCCTTTAGTTCTAAAAGACTAGTATCATGACAAAACAGAACGAAATCAAGTCAGGTTTAGCTCACAAGTTTCTTTTTAGATCCAACAACCCTCCAAGAAGCAGATGAAGTCCCATTCTGGTTAATAAATATCACATCTTCCTGTAATTTATTTTAGAAGTGACAAAGGCTCAAATGGGCTGATTCCCACCCCCAAACATACTGGAATACATGTGTATACAATTAGTACTGTTTCTTGAAATTAGGCAATGGTTTAGTAGCTCTAGATCTGATTTTTGCAAAGAATCAAAGTCCCCGATTAGGAGCAAAAAGTAACCAAACAACGTAGTGGTGCTTTGTTTCAAAAGTCTCGACAATAAAGCTGTATTTCTTTCTTAAAAATTGAAAACAATTTTATATACCAAGAAAAATCAAAAGTTTCAATAAACCACTTGCACACTAAACAACAGTATTAATCACGGCGTGTCCGGTAGTGTTGAGTTTTTAAATGCATTAAAACATTTACTCCTCCGAACAGCCTTACGAAGTATGTGTCATCTCATCCAACTACCAGAGCCAACACACATACACGTTTCGAACGAAAGAACTTAACAAAAGTCAGATATTCAGAGAGAGGAACGCGACCTGACTTCATCCCCGACGCATGCCCTCATCTTCGCAGTCCACCCTCCTCTTTTACCCACCCTCTAACGCGGGGATAATCAGGGTGGCCCAGGAACAAGGGTCGTCCTAGCTCCCAAACTTCAGGACGCTGCTATTGGACTAAGGTACTTCGACAGGACCCTGAAAAGGGTCAACACTGTCCGAAAATGAGGCCGGAGAGACAAGAAGGGTGCGTCCTTCACGATTCCCAAACGAGGCTGGTTCTATACGTTTCACAACCCTTGTTAAACCCTACACCCCTCACCTCCTTGAAGCCCCCTCCGAGTCTCACGTGGGACCGCACCCACAATCCTCCGCGTGACGCTCCGCCGTAACGGCACGCGAACTGGGTCAAACTACTTTCTCTATCTCTCGGCGAAGAGGTGGAGAGTAGTCGCCGAAGCTGTGGCGGCGCATGCGCACGCGCACGATAGGCGCGTTAGCAGTAGGCGTTACACCGAAAGATGCTGCTGCTGACCAGGCTCTGGCTTCTGTGGCGTCGACCTCCGGCTGCTGGGGTGCGGGGGAAGAACTTTGGAGTCAGAAAGGTCGCCTCTGGCGTCTCTTCCCCAGGCAGCGCGTCGCCCAGAGCCCTAAATATCTTCGACCGGCGTTTGAAGAGGAAACAGAAGAACTGGGCGGCCCAGCAGCCCGACCCTATGAAGTTTGATTACCTAAAGGAGGAGGTGAGTTTCCGAGGCAGCGTGGGAGGGCGAAGACGAGTCTTGGCTTCGAGTCTCCGGGCTCCGGCCAGAACCCCACTGACACCACCTCACCGTGTGACCTTGAGCAGCTCCCTTCCTTTCTGGGCCTCCTTTGTAATCACGGAAGGGGCTCCTACCTTCCTACCTTCTGTTCAGGGCAAAGTAGACCGCTGCCTTCTTGAGGTTTCATTCTTGTGGGAGGTGAGACAGACGATGAATAAAAAAAATGTGGAGTCAGCTAAATAAGTTAGTTGAAAGTGAAGTGATACAGTGATTGCAATGGTCAGGGAGGCCCTTCAGACAGGCAATATGATGAGGCATTAGCCACGCCGACATCTCGGGGGGAAACTTAACAGGCAAATGCGGAGCCCCTGAGGCCAAAAGAACCCTGTTGAGGTCTACAGTGAAAAGGAGAGAGGAGGTCAGGGTGGGCCTAGTTTATTAGAGCCTTAAGCGGTAAGAATTTTGGATTTTCTTCTCTCTCAGCTGCCCATTCAATCTGGTAATCTCTGTCCACATGTGGCTGTTGAGCATTTCGGATGCGGCTAGTTCAATTGAGATGTTCTGTGAGTGTAAAATGCACTGGATTTCTGTAACTTAGTATGAAAAAAGGATGTAAAATATTTCACTAATTACTTTTTATATTGATTACATGTTTAAATATTTTTGATATATTAGGTTAAATAAATGTTATAGTTAATTTATTCTGTTTCCTTTTAATGTAAAGTGACTACCAAAAGAATTTTAATTGCACATGTGGCTTTTATTTTTATATTGGCAGGCACTGCTGTGGAGGAATGTGAGACTGTTGAACAGTTTTAAGCAGTGCAGTGATAGAATCTGGTTTTTGTTTTAGGAAGTCCAAATTAAGATACATTAAGATCTCTGGTTTATCTGTGTGATTTCAAGAGACCTCCTCTTCCCTGCCCTAGTGGACCTAGAGACTGGGATTTCTACTCTTTGAATAGGCAGTACTGAGCTCAGTCCTAAGTAATTGTTTCTTCAGGGATGGAGCAAAATTGAAGATCAAGCTAATGCAATAAATACTTATTGGGCTCCTACGTTGAGTAGAGCTCTGTGCAAGCCCTGACCTCATCAGATGATTGGCTGTGTTCTCAGGGTTCATGATGGAATCTAATCCTATATTACAGTTTGACTGAGGCCTGGCCAATATACAGATCAGAATAAATAAATAAAGTATATGAGAGTTTTTAAAATAATACTAGGCATGGTGTACAAAGTAGATTCTGGGAAAAGACTTCTGCTATACCTCTTTCATTCCCCTTTTCCCCCTAAAGCAGATACACGAATGTCCTGAACTTTTAGGTCCTACTAGAAACTGGGGTGTTAATGAGGGAATGAGTAGAATGGCGGGAATACTGGCTCCCACATCTATCCCTGTCAAATGAAGCTAGCCCAGCAAAAGAAGGCACCAACCTTATCACCTCTTTTAAATTAGGGTGGGATGGGGGAAGGGGTGTGAAGGGCAGTTTCTTCAGATTTGGCTGACATCTTCTAATTGGCAAATACTGCACACAAAAGTTGTTTATTCACTTAGGAGTTCCACAAAATTTGTAAGTAATTATCAAATAATAGAGTTTTTAACTAAATGATTAAGTTTAAACATTGATCTGTAATAAATTCCAGCTAATTAAATAATTTTTTACTTTTATATATTGCACACTAATATTTGTGGATAGTAATATACCTGCTATGTTCCTATTAATTTTCATCCTTGTGCTCTTATAGCACATGGGGTATAAAGGCCGTATATACATATGTACACATATATACATACATATATGAACATACATAGAGCATGGAGATATGTAGAATATGTTTAGTTTGATTTCCTTTAAATTGCCTTCAAAAGTAATATGCCACAATTTTTTTCATGGGATATTTTTATTTCGTATGTTCCTATTTAGAATTTGAAAAGAAAATTACTGTGGTCACGTTGGAAAGGGGATAAAGGGAAGTACTTACAAATATATTGAAACATAAATAACATATGGATTGTTGAATTCCAGAGTGTTAATTCTCTGTTAATGCCACTCATCTTAATTTGTGTACATCATTGTCCCTTACAATCCTTCAGGTTGGAAGTCGGATTGCAGACCGTGTATATGACATAGCCAGGTAGGTGATGATAAATACATAACAAAATATAATCAACTTTGGAGACTGGAGAAATTAGATGATGAGAGCTTGAGGCCTGGAATGTCAGAATCCGGATGAATTTATTACCAGGATTAGTGGTTTTAATCCCTCTATAAGTCTCTTGTCTTCATGTCTGGAAGACCATATGTTCTTCATTGTTGTCTACAGAAAGAATGAATGGAAGCACATGCTTAGCTTAACTCCAAACCTGAATGACTCTTCTACTTGATTTAGCCAAATGCTAGTAATGGGAAGATAGCTCCAAAAATAGAGATAAAGAATTGACTGCATGTGAATTTTTAATATTTACTAAACCTAGCTTTCATACAACAAGAGAATCTTCATTGTTAATCAAAAATGAACAACAGAATCTTTGGCCATCTAAGCAAAGGAGAATCTGTCTACCTAGATTTGTTTCCCAATCAGGCTATAAGAGACTGGCCATTTTATGTTAAGTATTCTTAATGTCAGTAAATGTTCTCTAATAATATATAAAGGCAGATTTGAGAACACTTTCTTCAAGTAATTAATAAAACTTTAATGGATTTATTGCTCTGTATTAAGCATAAGGAGAGCTTTACAGATTCAAGTTTATAACTACATGGTGAGAACCACAGTTAAATAGTGGCTTTGTGTAGAATTGCTGTGATGTTAGTAAATCACTTTCTTGCTTTTTTTTGTTTGTTTAAAAGACATCCATTAAATTAGACCAATATGGGATGAATTTATTATAAATAATTGCCCTCATTTCATCTATTTCATTAGTTCCATTATTTTAAAGATGTAAATAGCTAATTCTTTATACTATCATCACTTATTTGCCTGGATTTTAGGGCATTTGTGATCTAATAAATGAAACAAATTTTCCAAGTGTTTGAATTTTACAATTTTTTTTTTATGTCATACTACTAAACAAAACATGGTCTGTAGAGAAAACTGTAATTATGGCCAAAAGCATGTCTTAAACAAATAGTAACTCTTTGGAATTAAATTATTTAAAATACCAGTCTAGATGCCCTTGTTCTAGTGTTCTCTTATTAGAAAGAGTATTTTATATTGTCTGTACTGATCTTACAATGATTTTTAAAAAATAACCCCACAAATTATTAAATGTCTTATCTGTGTTATCTGAGGCTCACTTAATATTGCTTTAATCAGGGATGATAATAACTCAGAACTAATTTTCGTTGAGCATTTGTACTGGGGTAAATACTTTACGTGCACTGTTTCTTAAAATTTTCACACCAACACTGAGGGAGGTAATAACTTTTCCACTTTGTGGTTAGGGAAACTGAAGTATAACATGGTATAATCACTTGTCTCTGGTCACAGAGCCAGTAAACCTCAGGCCCAGAATTCTAACTCAAGTCAATCTGATTGCAAAGTCTGTGTACTTCAAGGTGCCACACCAACAATGTTCACAATTAAGACAGAGGGTGTTAGGTAAATAAGTGGTTCTCACCAGTGGTTCAGTTGTGTACTGGTGTTACAGATGGCGATGGGGTCCAGGCTCTTGGTGGTTGTAAACAAAGAATTTAAGGGACTACACAGAGTTAAGTGAAGCAAGGAGTGAAGCAAGCAAGATTTATTAAGAAAGCGAGTGAGATTTATTTATTTATTTTTGGTTTATATTAGCATCCTTTATGTTTATTTATTTTTTATTGTCGTTCAAGTACAGTTATCTCCATTTTTCCGTGCGAGCGAGATTTATTAAGTAAAGTGCACTTCCTAAGAGTGGGCCACCTCTGACCAGAGGATGGCTGCCTTCCATCAAAAGGGTGCAGACTTTATTGGGTCCCATGATTCTCCTTGATTGCCCACATGGGGCGGGGGTGGGGTGGAGACCGCAATGCTAACTTAGGATAATGAGGCACACAGTGGTCAACTGAAGCTCTGGTACTTAAGTGTGCCTCCTTGCCAGATGTCATAAGGTGATTCTTGGAGATCAGGATGCTAAGTGGCCGACAACAGCTGCAGAGTCTCAGGACTTCCTCATTCCTATTCCTCTCCTTCCTTGCTGAGGTTTTTAAAAACCTGAAAAGGGACTTTTTTGGTTCTAATAGAAAAGGATAACATTTTAAGTTTTCTTGCCACAAACTTTAATAAATGTATGGGTTACAGTTAGGTGTGTGTACTGATTTAGAATGACATGATATTTAGAGGAGACAGCATAGCATAGGGGATAATAGTTCTGGTTCAGGATTCAAATGGACTGAATTCAAGTTCTGATTGCTGCTTTTTAGTTGAGTAACTTTGGGTTGACTTATTTAACTCTGAACACTTAGCGTACTATAAAACCTGGTAAGGTTGCAATAAAAGTGAGCTATTATTTAGTTGGCATTTTGTTTTTAGTTTAACATACAATATTTCATGGTATTTTACACGATGATCTCTTAAGTCTTCTGCTGCCTCAGCAAATTTGAGAAGTAGAAATAATTAGTATGTTCCTGATAGGTGGGGTATTTTCATGTTAACTTCTTTTCATTCTTTGTCTGGATGTATTATCACATTAAAATACACCCCCTAAATCTGTTCTTAAATTCATGTCATGAAACAACCATATGGAAAGCCAGTTGAATGACTAGCCCAGAGAGACTTACTCTATCTGATGTGTTTTCTGGTACATACAACTTGCAAGGCAGAAAAGAGAGACAATAAAACTTTCTGAAAGTTTCATTCACTTTCAAATTAGTTGTTAGTAAATTATAAGCAAATTTTAAGGTGAAATTAGGTCTTAATAATTATTTTATGGACTGTATTATTACAGACAAAACATAACTTTTTTGTTTGTTTTTTAGAGATTTCCCCCTTGCTTTGGATGTCGGTTGTGGAAGAGGTTACATAGCACAACACTTGAATAAGGTATATCTATTAGATGATTTAATTTACTTTGAGAAAGAAAATTGGCTAACTTTAAGGAAGGAATTTCCTCATCTGTTGTATTTTGATTATATCAGAGTTGCTAATTTTTTTAAGTGGTTGAACCAGTGGTGGTTTTGTGTCCCCTCTTAAGTATTTTTCCTTAAAGTGGTTTTTGTTTACTTTGAATCTGTTTTATACAGTGTTCTTGCTGATTGTTTCTTTAAATGTATAGAAGATGCATTGCTCTTTATTCCTACTTTGTTCAAATGTTTTTAATAATTTGCAATAAAATCAGAGGGGCATTCATTTGGAAATGTGATTAAGATAATTTTTAGATAGGAAAAATACTAATTTCAGTATGATTAGTAACCTTTATTAATGCTTACCTGATTTTATTTTGCATTTTCTAATTCAAATTATAAAGACATTCATTTATTTGTTTAGCCCCTATATATAGGACACTCTGGGGACACATTAAAGTGGTGTTTCTATATAAAATCTACATAGAAAAAACATATACTTGGTCAGGGGCAGAGATAGGGGTATGTGTGAGGCTTTCAAAACACTGTTGTTGATAATAGTAAATGCCACAGAAATGGTACAGTTATTAAATTGTAACAGGAGTTAAGGGAAGGGAAAAATCAGTAGGGGTTCATGTGGTCAAAGACCTCTGAAAGGGTCTAGAATCTGATCTGGGATCTGAAAGAAACTGAATCGATATTTCATAGGCATTGGAAATAAAGGCATGGCAGGAGGTATTTCTTTACAAAGGTAGAATGCTGAGGATATGATACAGTGGTATTTAAGGAAGATTAATTTCAGGATAGCATATAAGAAGGATTGAAGAAGGGAGAGGATAAAGAAACAGACCAGTCGGAGAGCTGTGTAAAGGCAGTGCAAACATGAGAGAGAAAGATCTGCCACGCATATGGAGGCAGGTAGATACAAGGAAGGGATGTATATGAGAGATCTAGTAGAATCCACAAACCTTGATGACTGATCAGATATGGTGGGCATGGCAAATCTGTTCTTTTAGCTGTTCAGTCTAAAAGATGCATTAATCGATTCCTCTTTTGTCCTCCCCTTCCATATCAGATCCATCCCCAAATCTTATTTGAATTTGAAAATGTATCCATAGCTCTACCACTTCTTGCCACTTTCAGCATTACCATATTGGTCAGTATTGTAGTAATCTCTTCATTGGCCTCCCTGCATCTATCCTTGCCCTTGTCCATTCTCACTGTAAAGTAGTCCTTTTGAAACACAAGTCAATTTATTATCAGTTTTCTACGCAGAACTGCTGACTTCTTAGGTAATTTAGTAATAATCCAGAGTCCTAATCCATAAGGCCCTCGGTGATCTGGCTCTATATGATGTCAGTGACCTTATCTCCTTCCCCTCACTCCCCACCAGCTGGCCTCCTGGCTGATTCTTGAACTGGCCAGGGCTTTGAATTGCACTTGTTTTGTTCTCTTTGCTTTTTAAGACTTTTGTATGGCTTACTTCTTTACTTCTTTCAGATCTTAGCTCAAATAACCCCTCATCAAAGATCTGTCCCTTTCCTGACTATTCTATAAAATAGGGCACTCATTCTTCACTGGCTAGTTGCTTTATTTGCTTCCATAGCACTTATTAGCACCCGATGTATTTTTTATATGTTTGTTTATTTGGTGTGTATCTTCTTTTACTGAGATATAAGCTCCATAGACATGCTCACTTTTGTTCACCACTAAATTTCAAGTATCTACAACACACGATGAAGATTTATTAAATGCCTATTACATGAATAAATGCAAGATAAGTTTTAAGTTATCAATGACTAGAGACATCAGTGACTAAAAAAAGTAAAGGGATGAAATAAGGCAAGGAGTCAGGGCTATTATTTTAAATACGTTGAGTTTGAGATGACAGTGTTAATGTACAGCAGGTAGTTGGAAATATGGAACTGGAATTGGGGTTTGGAGGTTAAGGTCATTGACACAGGTATTCAGTATTCTGCTCTGCTACTTGCTGTCCATGTACACTTAGACCACTCGCCCAACTTCTCCAGATCTCAGTTTCTGGAACATGTAAGCAATAATACATCTCCACGGGTTGGCTAGAAGATTGAGACAAGTTAAGTTAGTCAAAGTGGAGGCTGCTGTTTTTATTTGGATTATTTGGAAGCCTCTGTCAGAGGTGACAATCGAAGCCACAGGAGTAGGTAAGCTCTGTAGGGCAAGGATATAGAAAGGAACCTTCCACAATTGTACTTAGGGTGGGAAACGAGGAGGAGCCAAGAAGGATGCCAGGAATAGTAAGTAGGATGGAAATTGTCTTACTAAGGTATCTCCCCCCAGCCCCCCGCCCAAATGCAAGGCCATGGGATATTTTTAATGCCATTTTAAAAATTGTTTTGAGGGTGTCCTCTAACATTACAATAATTTATTTCTCCATATTTCTGATCTTTTCTCCACAATTGTTCTGTCGAGATCCCTGAGGGAAGAGACTATGTTATTTATTTTTGTTTTCTCTTTTTCTTTTTTGTTCCTGCCCATCTAGCCCCCACCCCTGACAGCTGTGGGCCTGCTCTCTATGAGTGTGTCTCTGTTTTGTTTGTTAGTTCATTTTGGTTATTAGATTCCACATATGAGTGAAATCATATGGTAACTGCCTTTGCCTGATTGGCTTATCTAACTTAGCATAATTTCCCCAGGTCCACCCATGCTGTTGCAAAGGATTAAGATTTATGGCTGAGTAGTATTCCATTGTGTAAATGTATGACACCATTTTTATCCACTCATCTACAGATGGACACTGGGGCTGCTTCCAAATTTTGGCTATTGTAAATAACACTGCAGTTAACATGGGGGTGCATATGCTCTTTTGAATTAGTGTTTTGGATTTGTCGGATAAATTCCCAGAAATGGAATTGCTGGATCGATCATAAGGAACTTCCTTTTTTTAATTTTTTGAGGTAGTAATGTATTTTTTGATTATAAGGAGCAGAACTCCATTGAAGCCAGTTGAAAGACAGGGACATTTATTACTTAGAGGATCTCGTAGTACAGACAAGTGTCCCAAGGATGGGGACTTAGAAACAGCAGAATGAAGGTCTTTCTGTGCACATGTTCTCTGGGATTGCGTAGATGCTGCATGATTGCCTTCTTTCTTATATTTCCCTGCAGACTGTCCCTGGTGTTCACTGGTGCATGTGGCCCCAGTATGAGTAAGCTATACCCACTGGTATGTTGAAGTTAGCTTATACTGGTTCATGAGAGCTGATTGTTAACATTGAAATCAGCTGTTGGAGTATTTGTACGAAGAAATTTTGCAAATGCTTCCAAGCAGTCCCCCATCAAAAGCCAGTTGTTAAATATTTACCAGAACTCCTTTGCCTCCATTCCAAGTCTACATTCTGTTCTAACTCTGGGGACTTCTACCCTGTCCCTGAGTCTCTTAATTTAAATTTTTCAGTGAGAGACAAGGACAGATAGTCTGATTGGCCTAATTTTTACTCCTTGCACTGGTATACTAGAGCTGACTTGTGAGAGCCTATTGTGCATTTCTTTTCCCAACGCTACATTTAGTGACATCATGTTGGTAACATGAAATCCTCTTTTGGAATAGTTACATTATGCAAAATTGATGAACACTGCAACTCAGGGCACCTTTTTTTGAGAGCTTATAGTTAAACATTCAGCTGCCACCACTTGTCCTCAGGTGGCCAGGTAACTGAAGGGTAACCTTTACAAATTGTGGGCAGGGAAGTTCTTTAAGAAGGGGATATTGGTGAAATGGAAATGATTGGTATTTCTAGTGGAGAAGGGGAACAAGAGTAGAAAGTAGTGCAGTTTCTAGAAGACCATCAACATTGGTGTGCTTCAAAGAGGTCAAATGAAGTAGGACTAAGAGCAGACAGACTGTGTATGTAGTTGGTGATTAGGTTGTTAGTGATCATAAATAGTTTTCATAAACAGTGACAATGGAAATTGAGGAGAATAACAGTGAGAGAGTTACGGATTTCAAGCAAAACACTTGGAACGTGGTTAAAGGAGATTTTTGAAGGTTGGGAGGCATATATTTAAGGTGAGGAAAGAGACACAGAAGGCAGAGATTGAAGATTGGTAGAGATGGTGATGGAGCTGGATCCTGGAGAAAAGAGAACATAGTGGAAGGTGTTAATCTGGGAAAGAAATATAGTACTCTTCCCACTTTGAAGAAAAAGAAGGTATGTGAAACAGTAAAAAAAAAAAATTAAATTAAAAAAATGCTTAGTGCCCCCTACTCTCCAAATATCTGTGTTAAAGTCTTTCTTTACATTTTTGTAAACTCTGAATAACAACTGAAAGGCAGGAAAAGCAATACAAGTCTTCTGTGGCACAAGAGTGGGGACTAGTTCATAGCATATTATGCTTTGGAAAAAGCAAAACATATGCCTTAATCCAGTAGAGTAAATTAAGGGTGTTGATTATTCACACCTGTGTTCTCTATGTTACTAAATATAGTTAAATATGTTAACTATATTTAATATAGTTAATATAACTATATTTAAATAAAGTTGGTGGCATATATTTAAATATGTGTAATTTAATATGTTATTAAAGGTATTTGTGCACCATACTGGTTTGATGCAGAAAAATACCAGTACAAAGCTAAAAATTAATCTGTAACTATCACATTCTCTTTTAGAAACTTTAGCATTTGTTTTATTGTTACTGGATTTTTGTTTGTTTTTATAACATTGGATTAGCTTTATTATTTTTTTGCAGGAAACTGTTGGAAAGTTTTTCCAAGCAGACATAGCAGAAAATACTTTGGTAGGTAGCTTTTTAATATTGGTTTTTGATCTCCTGGTTTGATTATTAGTTCTTTATTTCTTTTAAAATGAAAATAGCTCTTTTTCTGATAAAATTAATAACACACAAAAAAGAAGTAATCAATACAGGAAACATAAGGGGGAAATCACCTCTAACCCTACCACTCAAAGGTATCCACTAGTAACATTTTGGTCTCCTCCTTTGTAGATGTTTAATTATCTTGTACAGTTTCATACAAATGGTATTATGCTAACATACAATGTTTTTGTCAGCACAGGGATACAAACACACATACTCCATTGTTTTAAATGACTATATAGTGTTCCAATATATGAATATTCCATAGTTTGTTTAGCTAAATTTGAATTGAAGGACAGTTATATTTCCAGTTTCTCAAAAACCAATATTATGACGAATGTCATTGTATAAAGCAACTTTGTTTTATTTATCTTCTCTCTGGGAATAAATTCCTAGTACTGGAATTTATAGATTCCAGACTGACCTTAGAAAGGTTGATAACTGTATTAAGTGAAAGTACCCTTTTACTCCTTCTCTTTGGCAACATTGAGCCAGTTGTTTTGTGTTTGTCAACCTGATAGGCAGAAAGTAGACTCTCATAATTTTTACTTGCATTTTTTTCATTACTAGTACTACCAAATACCTGTTGATATTTTTTGGTAACTGATATTTGGCTATCGGTATTTTTTAATTTGTGAATTTTATAATTTTGTGATGTATCTGTACCTTGTCCTTTTTCTACTTTTATTCTAAGTGTTTTTTATTCTAGGTTATTTTTTAGGGATATTAACCTTTTATCATACATATTATAAATATTTTCCCAAGTTTGTTGTTTACAGTATTTATTGCTTTGAGAAGTTTTTGGTTAGTTTATCGAATATATCAATCCTTTTCTTTATAGTTTCTGGCTTTCAAGTCATGTTTACTTATGCATTTTCATCAGAGAGTGTAAAAATGTTCACCAGTATTTTCATCTAGTACTTTTATGGCTTCAGTTTTTCCACTTAAACTTTTATTTTTCTGAGATTTGTTTTAATGTGAGATCGGTGTCCTGTTTATGTTTTGCTAACCAGCGAGTCAGTTTTTTTGGCTGGTCTTAAATGTAATTAAAGAAATATTTTTTGAGAGCCTTTTTTGTGGCTCCATTTTTTGTGGACGGGATAGAAACTGCCAAGTAAATATAACATGACTTAAATTTAACAAACAGTGATTGTGTTAATCGATATATTATAAATGTGTTTTTTAACCATTAGAAAAATACCTTAGAAACGGAAATTCCTACTGTCACTGTTTTAGCTGATGAAGAATTCCTTCCTTTCAAAGAAAATACATTTGACCTGGTGGTTAGCAGTTTAAGGTTGGTAATCCATTTGTACTTTTTAAAAAATAGATGTTATAAATAAAATAGATAATGAAGTAAATTCTTAATGCCGTTTCTTTTTAAGTCACAACCCAGGGTGTTTTGGGTTTTTTGGGGGGTTTATAAACTCTAGGATTTTTCTGGTAAAGAATTATGGCTATATGCTCAGTGGAGGAGATAATATGATATAGCACCACAACTTTTTTCCACAACTTCCCTCCATCTGCTAAAGCTTATCTGTGATAGAAGGGTTTTCCTCCCCAATGTAGCTTAGTATTCTGGAATTGATACTGATGGGAGCACAGGTGTGAAGGAGTATGCTAATTCCAATATTCCAATATTAGAGTAACTTTATAAATCCATTCTAGTAAATAAGGAAAAGCTCGCATTTCCTTCAATTTTAATTCTTTTTCTACACAGAAATATGCTCCCTAAGGTTACTTTTTTCCTTTTGTTCTTTCTACCGTGTTCTCCCACTGTATTACATGGATATGTATTACAAATATTTATTGAATAGATTATAATATGCAAGGCAATGAGCTAGATGCTTTTGGGGGAATACAGAAATAAATTCAGATAGAGATACTGTCCTCAAACAACTTAGTGTCTAACAGAGAAAATAAAGTAGCCTATATGGTACCTTATTTCTCCTGCCTTATTATTATAGTCAGATTTTCTTTCAAAGATACATGTTCAATGCAACCCTTTTGATAGCTGTTTTTAGGATGACCAATCATAATGGTTTGCCCATGACTTTGCCAGTGTTACTACCAAAAGGCTTATGCCTTAGGAAACTCCTCAGTCCCGGGCAAACTGAAAGAGTTGGACATGTTTGCTGTTTTCTTCAGTGAGTTTGTACCTTCTTCCCTGCTTTTAGGGGTGTGCTGAGAAAACTTGGAGTATTCAGATTCCATTGCTGAATAAATTTTGAAAAGTATTTAGAATCTGCCATGAAATAAAAAACATTACAGAGCTTTGGTCTAAGGGAAAGAACACTGGGCAGAGTCAGAACCCATGTTTTAACTTGAGCTTGTTTGCTGCTATTTGCGAGTAACTAACTTTGTTGCTTTCAGTTTCCCCATAATAGAGCTTATAACATGACCTTCTTAATTTTTAAAGTACCTAGTAATTGTTAGAAAGTATTATGAAAGATAATGTGAGCTTAACACAGTATGGTTTGAAATGGGTATTGAGAGCTGTCTTGGAAGTCAGCATAAAAAGATGCCAACTCCACTAAGAAAGTGTGACTGTATTCTACAGAGACTGATTTTTGTTGTCACATATCACTACGTACTGGGAGAAGGTAAATAGAGTCAAAAGATGATGCAGGGGTTTCTTTGACTAAGTTTGCAGTATATAGAGCTCTGGATTTGTTTGTATTTTCCTTTTATGATCTCAAAAAACATGGGGTATTAATTATCAGAAAACTCACGGGTGAGTTAATTTTTTGATGACTAGTACTATTTACCTTGGGGAAATTAAAGGTTTTCTTGTGAATTTTATTTTTTTCTAGGAAGGTAGGATTTAGAATACTGTATGTCTGTAGCTTAAATATTTGGCCTAATTGATGAACTTCTTTGAACATGTCATCGGGTGCTTATTTTTACTATTTTCTTCAAATAAGTTTTCAGAATAGCACTGAAGATGAGATGCTGGTTAGGAATGACTTTTACTTTATTTTTTCCCAGCTTTATTGAATTGTATATAAGTTTAAGGTCTACAGTGTAGTAATCAGATACATGTGTATATTACAAAATGATTATCGCAATAAAATTAGTTAACATCTTCATCCCTTCACATTATTAGGATTTTTGTGTGTGTGGGGATAACATTTAAGATCTACTCTCAAAAATCTTGAAGTGTGTAGTACAGTATTTACTAATTATAGTCACCATTCTGTGCATTAGATCCCCATACTTATATCTCAGAGGTTATATCCTTCAGTCTCCTGTCCCTGATAAACTACCATTCTATTCTGTTTGGCTTTTTAAAGATTCTGTACATAAGTGAGAACATACAGTATTTCTCTTTGTCTGATTTATGTCTCTTGGCACAATGCCCTCAAGGCCCCTCCATATTGTCCCAAAAGATAGGATTTCCCTCTTTTCTGTTGCTGAGTACTATTCTACTGTGTGTGTGTGTGTGTGTGTGTAACATTTTTTTTTTTTAAGATTTTATTTATTGTTAGAGAGAGGGGAAGGGAGGTAGAAAGAGAGAGAAGCATCAATGTATGGTTGCTGGTTGTGTGTCCCCAACTGAGGACATGGCCTGCAACCCAGGCATGGGCCCTGACTGGGAATCAAACCAGCAACCCTTTGCTTCTCAGGCTGGCACTCAATCCACTGAGTCATTCCAGCCAGGGCGTATCTTCTTTATCCATTGAAGGACACTTAGTTTGTCTCCACATCCTGGTTATTGTGAATAATGATGCACTGAAGGTGGGGGTGCAGGTATCTCTTTGAAATAAAACATTTTTTATTTCTTTTTTTGGATATATACCCAGAAGTGGGATTGCTGGATTATATGGTAGCTCAGGGTTTTTTGAGGAACCTCCATACTCTTTGTCCAGTTTACATTCCCACCAACACTATACAAGGGTTCCCTTTACTCTCCATTTGTGCCAACATTTCTTACCTTGTTTTTTTTTTTTATTGTAGCCATACTAATAGGTATAAGGTGATAGCTCATTGTGGGTTTGATATGCATTTCTCTAATCATTAGTGATAATGAGCATCTTTTCATATACCTGTTGGCCATTTGTATGTCTTATTTGGAAAAACTTACTTATACTTTAATCAGTGAAGAATAATTGGACATATAATCATATCAACAAAGTGAAATGCTCTCACATTTTCTAGTATGACAGAAGGAAAGTTTACCCCTAGGAATAGTATTTTTGAAATTTGTATAAAATCAGTCTGCTATGCAATTTCAAATTTAAAATTATTCTTTTGTGGCTTATCATTATACTAGTGATGCTTATTAATTATATGAATTAAGCTTAAGTAAATATGTATTTTCATATTTTAGTTTGCACTGGGTGAATGACCTTCCTGGAGCACTTGAACAGGTAAGAAATTTAATGTTGATTCTAATAGCCTGTGTTATTTTATTTATTATTAAAAACTTCTAGATGTTTCTGTAGTTCACATGGAAACTTAGAGATGTTTTCTGTTTTATACTTCTGACAATTGGCAGTTGAAACAAATCAAGTAAGGATTTTATTTTGTTCTATGTGCTGGATATAGTTGGTGCACTTTGACATATTAAGTATATTGGGTGATATTCTCCCTCCCTGGCAATTCAGAAGATCTTATGGAGATGTTTAAATATTTATGAAAACTTTAGTAACGTATAAAATAATATTGATATGACATTTTCTCAGTGGGTTTTTTTTCCTCTTTAATTGCCTATAAATTTTTTGTGGATAGGAACTTACTTGTTTATATTTGTATCTTCCACATGCCTTATACTTCGAGAGTTCTAGGTAAATGTTCATTCGCTGATATTTATTAGCGAACAGATGAGTGGTAGGTAAAAATCACTGTGTTCAGAGGAGGGAAGGAGATCACTCTGGTGTGGACCTGCCAAGAAAGCTTCAAGAGGAGGGAATTACTTACAAAGGGCCTTAGAGGGTAAGTCAGGTTTGGAGTGGGAAGGCATTCCAGAAAGGCAGAATCAGAATAGGCGAGAGATTTAAGAGCCCCGGAAGTATGAAAGGATAAAGAGGAAGCCTGTTTGGAGGATAAGCTTAGCGCTGGGTGATGAGGTATATTGGAACCAGGTTTAGGAGGACTTGGGTGACAGATTAAGGAATTTGGAGTTTATTCTTTATGCAATTCAGAGTCACTGGAGGATTTTGAAGAGGAAAGTGACATGATTATAAAGCTGGTGGGCTAGAAAATAACTACCGTATCTTAAGCACATACTGTTTTTCAATCACTGTGCTCTTTTATGTGTGTTAACTCTGCCAGATGTCTTCATTTTGTTGATTAGAAAACTCATGCCAGAAGTTGACTCAGTTGAAGTAAGATTGTTTTCAGTGGTCCAGACATGAGGTAAACTAAACCTAGGTGTCAATGATAGGAGTTAAAAGGAAGAGAGAGTTATTGTAGGACTCTGCAAAGGAAGAATCCACAGTGGCTGGTTAGATCTGAAGATCAAAGAGAGGGGGGAGTAAAAGCTCACCTTGAAGTTTTGAGTCTGTATGCCTGGGAGAATAATTAGTAAAAATGGAGGAAAAAATGATAATGATCAGATAAGGGCAACAGAAAATGATAATTAACAGAAATATGGCACTTGCAAAGGGAAGTTAGTTTAAGCATAAGGGTTGTGTATGTGTTGGAAGTATTGGGGAGTAAGTATGCCAAGGGACAAATGTCTGCGGCACAGGAAGTTGAACGTGAGTTCTCGGAAGAGGTACAAGCCAAATATGAAGTTTGGAAAATAATCCTTGTGAAATCCATGAGAATTGATAAACCCTCTGAGGTAGAGAGAAGCTGCAGAGAGCTGCTGAATATTAGGTACTTGCTATATTAGAGTTTTGTGACTAGTGAGGGAAGTAACATTAAAGAAGCAGAAGGAAAGAAATCAAGAATTTTACAGTTGGCTTGCTTGCATACTGTTTAGTAATTGCTTCATATTTTGTAATAAATATATTTTTATATTTTGTAATAAATATATTTGTAATATAAAATATTTCAAAAATATTGTGTGATAAATATATAATTAAATATATTTACTATAGATTCAAGATGGATACTTTGATTAGAACAGTGTGCAGTGTTTTGGATCCTGCTTTACTTCAGAATCCATCCTTTCCAGTAGTGTTTCTCATTGTAGAAAATATCCAAAACTTTTCAAAACTAGTTACAGATTATAGGTCTGAGAGTTGGTGAGTAAACTTTTGCAATTCTGGAATTCATTGTAGCCACTATTTTGCTTAAGTTACCAGTTAAAAAGTGTATTTGTTTTCAAACTAGAAAATAAGTTAGTTACTTCTCCTTAAGGAAAACTAATGTGTTTCCAGGTTAATGTGAATTATAAGGGTTCCTCTATCAATTAGCTTTTTCTGCATCTCAAGGCAACCCAGCTTAGTGGTTTAAAACAACAATTTACTTAGCTTATGATTTTGTGGGTTGAAAATTTGGGCTGGATTTAGGAATTTTTTCTGGTTCTGGATTGGCTTATCCATGTGTTTGTGATCTGGTTCTAGATCGTCTTGTAGCTTGCTGGTCAAGGGTGGTCTCAGCTGTGATACCCAGCTTATCTCTGCTCCTCATGTCCCTCATCTTTCACCAGACTAGATTGTTCACAACATGATGGCCAGACCAGGCTCCAAGAGAACAGGTAGAAACATGCAAGGCCATTTGAAACCTTGGCTTGACATGGACACCCTGTAATGTGCACTGCATTTCTTTGGCCAAAGCAAGTCACACGTCCAGCCCAGAATCAAGGATAGGGGAAGTAGACTCCATCTCTTGATGGGAGTTGTTACAGAGTGGTATTTCAGAGGGCACAGATACAGAGAGAACTGTAATTTTTTACAGTCCACCACACTGCTATTTTTTTCCTTCAGTATTTTTCTAATAATAAAAGTAAGTTGAATCTATTTTTTAAAAAATTTTGAAAACATATATTTTATAGATACTAATACTATCAATACATGTATTGTCTATCTTTACAACAATATTATGCTGCAATGCCTTTTTGACAGTTTCCTTAGATATTATTTATTAAATAATCTAATTATTTGACAAACTAAGAATGGTAATCATAAAATACTGATTTAGATATAAAAATATATGTTTGCCATTTTTATGTGTAACATTTTGAACAGTTATGTTTTCTTGTATTTATTACAGATTCATTATGTTTTAAAACCAGATGGCGTTTTTATTGGTGCGATGTTTGGAGGCGACACACTCTATGAACTTAGGTGTTCATTACAGTTAGCAGAAACGGAAAGGGAAGGAGGATTTTCACCACATGTTTCTCCTTTCACTGCTGTCAGCGACCTAGGACATCTGCTTGGGAGAGCTGGCTTTAACACACTGACTGTGGTAACTATCGAGAGAATCAGGTACCCCATTAATTACACAGTTCAGAAACAACTTCTCATTTTGAAGATAGAAAACTGTAGGTATCGATGGTATCGTTGGAAGGTTTTGGCACTTCCTGTTTTTAAATTCAGTTTGTATAAACACATCTTGATTGACACAAAGTAGGAATGTAAAATTTTTAGTATTAGTTACCTGAATGCTAGTTCAAAAACAATCTACCTCAGTTAAGGAGGAGGCTATTTTTTAAGACATAGTTGGAGAAAAGGGGATGTACATGATCATGTAGAACACTACCTCTATCTGCAGCCCTCAACTGAAATAGTGCCACGTAAAGCAGAAATGAGAGAATGTACATTTACAAGAGTCAGAGAATGTAGGATGGGGGCTGTGGTCATTAGGGCTGGAGAGATCTGGAAAGTGGACCCATCCGCCTTCAGGGTAGAAGAAACATGGAGTCAGCATGATACAGTGATAGAGGAAGGCATGGGTGTCTGGCAGGAATAATGTGGCTCCTTCCCTTGCCCCTTTATTAGCTAGGGGAATTGGAAGATTTATTTCACTTCTCTGTGCATTCTTTTTGTTTTTGATTTTTATTTGTTAATGCAAATATTACCTCAGGTGGCTGTTACAGTTAAATAAGATAAAGGGTATGAAGTGGCTGCACCTTAGCAGTTGCTCAGTAAGTAGTAGCTCTTGTCTTTTCCTCTCTCCCTCATTTACTCTTAGCACTTTCCAGGCTAAGGATTCCATTAGCAAGTCATCTGGACAGAAAATGATTACTCTCTTCCAACTCCTTTCAGTAGCAGAGTCATTCTAAAGGATCCCTTTACTGCCTTAAGAGACTGGCTGAGTAGACTTGCTATCATTTTCTGGACCCCTCAGACCTAGAAACATCTCTAAATCTGATTAGAGGAAATAGCAATTTCTTGATGAAAAAAAGCTTCTCATTGCACAGAGACAGTAGGTTTAAAATCAAAATAAATGTTTAAGGTGATTCAGTGTGAATGTATTTCATAAAAATCAGCCAACCAAAAATGGATTGTCCTATCTTTCCCAATTTTGATAGAAAGGAGGGGCATAGGCTAGGGCCTCTGGTGTTGGAAAGGGGCTTTCAAGGAAGGAAGAGATAATAGGCTAGGAACTGATAACAATCCTCAAGATTTCAGTTTTGTCTTTGTAAACTTGTAAATGCAATGAGTCAATAGAAACTGCATTGTGAGATATTAGCTGAAAATGGAAAACTGCTTTATGTGAAGGTTCTGCTTTGTAATTAAAACACTGTCGATACTGGCAGTGGTACATTGAGGGAATCACTGTCAATATTGACAATGGTACATTGAGGGAATCACTGTGTGTATATATATTTTATTGATTATGCTATTACAGTTGTCCCATTTTTTCTCCCTTTTATTCCTCTCTTCCCTGCACCCCTTGCCCCCCACCACTAGCACTCCCCCTCCTTAGTTCATGTCCATGGGTCGTACATATAAGTTCTTTGGCTTCTCCATTTCCTAAACTATTCTTAACATCCCTCGGTCTATTTTGTACCTACTATTCATGCTTCTTATTCTCTGTACATTTTCTACCATTCTCCCCTCTCCCCTTACCCTCTGATCTCCATTTCTGTGATTCTTTTCCTGTTCTAGTTGTTTGCTTTTGTTTCTCTTTTTGGTTTTTTTTTTTTTTAGGTTCAATTGTTAATAATTGTGTGTTTGTTGTCATTTTACTGTTCATAGTTTCTGATCTTCTTTTTCTTTGATAAGTCCCTTTAACATTTCATATAATAAAGACTTGGTGATGATGAACTCCTTTAACTTGACCTCATCTGGGAAGCACTGTATCTGCCCTTCCATTCTAAGTGATAGCTTCACTGGATAGAGTTATCTTAGATGTAGGTCCTTGCCTTTCATGACTTTAATACTTCTTTCCAGCCCCTTCTTGCCTGCAAGGTTTCTTTGGAGAAATCAGCTGATAGTCTTATGGGAACTCCTTTGTAGGTCTCTTTTTCTCTTACTGCTTCTAAGATTCTCTCCTTATCTGTAATCTTGGATAATGTAGTTATGATGCACATTGGTGTGTGTTTCCTTGGGTCAGACTTCTTTGGGACTCTCTGAGCTTCCTGGATCTCCTGGAAGTCTACTTCCTTGGCCAGATTGGGGAAGTTCTCCATTATTTTTTCAAATAAGTTTTCAATTTCTTGCCCTTCCTCTTATTCTGGCACCCCTATGATTTGGATGTTGGAAAGTTTCAAGTTGGCCCCAAGGTTCCTAAGTCTCTCCTCATTTTTTTGAATTCTTGTTTCTTCATTCTGTTCTGGCTGAATGTTTATCTCCTTGCCATATTTCTTTGTCTCAGCATACCTGTTACGTTGGGAGGGACAGAGCCCTAGGTATTCACCAGAGTGGGGCAACCTAGGTCATACCCTGCTGTGATGCTGGAGGGGTCCGAGAGGGAACAATGCCTCTTGCTCTGCTCTCAGCAGCTTTCGTCCTTCCCCTGCTACCCACAAGCAAAATTGGGCCCTTCTGGTGCTGATTACCAGGTGGGTGGGTTTGTGTATGTTCTAGGACCCTATGCGTCTCTCCAACAGACTCCTGTGAAGCTGGGTGTTTCTCCCACTGCCGCATCCCCCACAGGTATTTTACAGCCAGAGGTTTTGAAGCTTTGTTTTCCAACACTGGAACCCTGAGTTGCTGGCCTGTCTTGCTTCCCTGTTGTTCCTTCCAGTTTATCCACACGCAAATGTGGGACCACTCAGTCCTCCAGCTGCCACGTTGCTGCAGGTCCTCTCTGCCCTGGCTGCCCATCACTGCTCCTCCTACTGGTCTGGATGAATGTTTCCTCTTTAACTCCTTGGTTGTTGGACTTGCATACAGTTTGATTTCCTGGCCATTCTGGTTATTTTTTGTTTTTAAATTTGTTGTTGTCCTCCTTTTGGTTGTGTGAGGAGGCAAGGTGTATCTACCTATGCCTCCATCTTGGCCAAAAGTTGACTGTATATTTTAAATACATTTTTAATTACATATGTAATAACACAAATACATTTGTTGTAAACATTGCACTCTATAGATAAAGTGAAAGTCTGTCATTCCCCTTTAGTCCCCAAAATCTTAGCTCTCTTCTGAAAGCAACAATCCTCAAAATGTTGGTCTTGCAACCCCTCTACACTCTTAAAATTACTGAAGACCTTAAAAGGCTTTTGTTTATGTGAATGATATCTGTCAATATTAACTATATTAGAAATTAAAACTGAATTTTAGTAATTATTCATTTAAAACTAAATATACCAGTACCAGTTACATCATAGCATAAATAAGTTATTTTTTGTGAAAAAGAACTGTATTTTCCAAAAGAAAAAAGTGAGAGAAAAGAATATCATTGTTTTACATTTTCACATACTCCTTTAATGTATGGCGTAGTAAAAGCTAGATTCTCATGTCTACTTCTGCGTTCACATCTATTGCAATATCACATGTCATGTAACTTCTGAAAAACCCCATTGCAGATTCCTGAGAGATTTAGAGGTGAAAAAGTCAAATATATAGAATGGCAGAGTATGGTAACAGCTACTTCTAGGGCAGCAAGGACCCAAGGACTCCCCAAACCACACTGAGATCTGCTCAAAGACAGACACATATTTTTGAAACCTGTTTTTCATTCTTAACAGAATATTTTAGATTGTTTTCCAAATCAATACGAATATATTTGCCCTCCTTAACTTCTGTGCATTCTATAGTGTGACTGTACCACAGTTTTATTTCACAATTTCTCTAATGAACAACATTTATGTTTGTTCCAGTTTTTTGTTGCTGGTGGTCTTTTTGCCAAGAGAAACAATTCTGAAATGACTATTTTTTTTATTGTTTTCATTTATTTATTCAATCTTACAATAAGCATTTATTGAGTACCTTCTCTCTGCCAGGCACTGTTCTAGGTACTTCGGATATAGCAATGAACAAAACATAAATCCCTGCCTGCTTTCTTGAATTTATAGAGGGCCTGTCAGTAGGCTTTAGAGGTCCAAAAACACTGGATGTTGTAAGGAAATACGGTTTTTTGTTGTTCATATGTGCAGGATAGGGCCCATTTTTTTTATCAGATTGTGAGAGAAGACTGATTGAAAATAGAATCCACTGATTTAAATCATTAATCTTTATTATTTATTGTATTTATAATAAGGAAAAAAGATTATCTTTACAGTTCACCCTTTTAAGACTTGCCTCCCAGCCCTGGCCCATGTGGCTCAGTTGGTTGGGTTGCTGATTGGGTTGTTGGTTCGATTCCAAGTCTGGTTCCCAGTTGGGGCATGTGGGAGAGACAACCAATCTATGTTTCTCTCTTGCATCAATGCTTCTTTCCCTACTTCCTCCACTCTCTAAGCAGATGAATAAAATCTGTAACAAAAAAAAAAAAGGAAAAAAAAGATTGCCTCTCATATTGCTATCTTACAAACTGAAGTGGTGAAATGAAGAGAATCATGAGTGCAAAGGTAAAAAGATATGCTAAAAAGTGTAGGAGGGGATGTAGGGAACAGAAGAAATGTGGAGACAGGTAGTACAGATGTTCATGGGGATATGTTAAAAATTTGCACTATGTCATACAAGTTAGTCAACGACATTAGGGGCCTCAAAAGTTGTTGCCTATGAGGAAAAAAGATGAGACTTCTATCCTGAGTCCTGAAAAGAAAGTTAAATTGTGTTCATCCATGCAGTTTTCTATGGTTCACAAGTGGACTGTGCATTTTAGAAAGATTTCTACTAAAAATGCTAACCTGATAAAACATTTAAAGCCTACATTTCTGTTAATGGGAAAAGCTGTTAATTCAAAATACCCTCCATATTCTTTAAAAATGAACTGAATGACTGATAATATAATGCAAAAATATTGGTATAGAATCTTGTTTATAGTTCTTAAAATTAGAAAGATGCTGATTTAATAATAAATCTATAAATTGTTCCTTGAGACATATACCTGTCTCTAAAGTGCTGCATTAACATTGCATTCTAATTCATTTTCTAAATAGTCCATCCAAAAAAGCTTTTATATAATCAATTACACAGGTTTATGTTGCATATAACATTAGATACAGTTATTTTTGTACTGCAAAGGTTTCTTATTTTTATATGAAGTCAACTTAAACTAAAACCAGGTAGTTATATTTACATTTATAGGATCCTCTTAGTGAATTACTTTCAGAGTCAGTTGGCATTCTCAGTGAAGCTCATTGCCTTTTAGAATAGAGTTGCCAGACTAATTTATTAGGAGAAAATGCAGATACGGACCATCATGATGTGAGTAAGGCCTTTGACAAAGCTGTTGTGGTACTGTTTTTGATTGAGATGGAGGTAGTCCTTTTAATTTGTTTCATTGAAAAATGGTTTTCAAAGGATATTGCTTAATGGTTGAGTATCAGCTTGGAAAATATTTTGTTTTTAATCTTAGGATCTCTATTTATTTAATTGAAGATTGATTTATTTCATTTTTAGAGAGAAGGGAGGGGAAGGAGAAAGAGAGGGAGGGAAACATCAGTGAATTGCTTCTCATATGTACCACATCCTGGGACTGAACCCACAACTTAGACATATGCGCTTGACTGGGAATCGAACCAGCCAGCAACCTTTCAGTTTGCAAGATGATGTCCAACCAAGTGGGCCACACCAGTCAGGTCAGGATCCCTTTTTAAAAATAGTTTTTTAAGGTAGAAAAATAGAAGAAATGGATTTCCCAGAGGTGATCTTACTAAAAAGTACACACACAACCTGATCCTTGCATATGTTAAAATAAAAGGAAATAAAGAATGTATAGGGAGAATGAGATAACTAGAGTGGGTCTAAAGTGAAAAGAAGTTTCCTCCTCCTGACTTCTGACACACTGTCCTTCTCCGCAAAGACAACCTTTGTTAACTGTTTGATACATCCTTTCAAAACAATTTTCTTCATAGACCCAAATACAATTATATCACCTAAAACCTGCATATGCAATTATATATGTATATACACATACGTCACACATTTTTTACTTTTTTTTTGTACTGCCCTGATGGTTTTTTTTTTTTAATTCAATAACGTATCTTGGAGATCTTTCCCTGCAAACATACCTACTGCATTCTTTTTTAACAGCTGTAGAGTATTTCATTAAATAGATACACTTTAATTTATTTAACCAGCCCTCCATTAATGGACATAGAGATTGTTTCCAGTTTGTTTTTTGGGTTTTGTTTTTTTTTTTAACCCCTTTCAAAGAGTGCTGCCATGAATTTCCTTTCATATACTCTTGGCATATCTGTCAGGTCAATTTCTTGCAATGGAATTACTGGTCAAAATATCTAGGCATTTGAAATTTTGACAGATAGGGTCAAGTTACTCTCCAAAAGATAGCATCAATTTATATATCTGATCAAAGTGTATGTGGCCCTGGCTGGTGTGGCTCAGTGGATTGAGCACCAGCCTGCGAACCAAAGGGTCGCTGGTGCAATTCCCAGTCAGGACACATGCCTGGGTTGCAGGCCAGGTCCCCAGTAGGGGACACATAAGATGTTTCTCTCCCTCTCTCTCTCCCTTCCCCTCTCTCTAAAAATAAATAAATAAAATCTTTAAAAAAACCAGTATATGTGAATTCTGGCTTAAAATTTGTTTTGTACCTCTAAATTTTTTTTTAAAAAGATAAACGGTCATTTTGTTTTACATTTCTTTAAGAATTAAAATGGATGTTTTTGGTAAGGGTTCTTTTGGGCTTTGTACTTGATTCTGTGCAATATCAAAGTCCAAAATTGGGAGGACTAGGCAACACAGATAAAGTTACAGAAAAAACACACATGGATCTAGGTACTTCAGAAGTAGTTAGTACATATAAATTTGAGATAACATGCAGCATATTGATTCAAACTTGAAAAAAAAAGATGGGGCGGACTGTGCTGTATTTTAGGGCTAGTTTTCCATATAGACAAACTTCCACATCTTAGTGATTAACACAAAATTTTATTCCATCACAGCCCCATGCTGTTTGGGCAGCCCATCTCCATCTTATAGTTGTATGACCTGGCCTTTGTGTCTTCTGAGATCACCAGAGCAAAAGAGATAGACTGGAAGAGGTTCACTAACTCTTTATTATCCTGCCCCTTCCCCTTCTTCTTTGGTGAAAGGAAATGTCTGTTTGTGGCCAGGAAGCTTCCAGGAGCGCTTGGGTATTTGGAGAGTATCAGTAGTCTCTGTCACCGTACCACCAGTAAACTCCTGTATCAAGCTTTATAAAGAATGGGACATCATTGCCCAAAAGTTTATTTGAGAAATAAACTGTGTATCAGCAGTGCACTCATATCCTAACAGCCAATGCAGTATTGCTGCATTACTGAAGTAGAATGAAAACATCTTGGCAGATGAGCCTGTTTTGCTTGATTCTGGGTTCCACATTTTAAGAGAGAAGTTTATACTATGTATAGCGAAATGTAATGAGAACATGTAAAGATCTATTAATTTAGTCTAGAAGATTAGCCCCTCCTAAAAAATGATGGCATGTTAAGGAGAAATTTCTACTCTAGGTTCTTCTGGCTGGTCTAAGAATTAAATTGACACAAAACAGATTAACAGGATAAAATCAGATTTAATTTCTTACATACAGGAGCTCTGTAAGAATATGGGGCCCACAGACAGACAGTTGAGGCTTATATGTATTCTGAATTAAAGAGAAGGGATAGGATTCTGGGTCTTCAAAGAGGAAGAAGGCAATTTACATGGGGATGGCCAAACATTTGGCCATGGGGATGGCAAACAAATGCTTGCTGCACCATGCAGAGACAGTGGGACAACAGAAAGGTCTTTGGTCTTCAGGTCCTGCCAAATTATCCTTACCATCCCTACCCCATGTTCTTTGTGGTTATCCCTGGTAATAATGTTCCTCCTGGACCAGGCCCTTGATCAGAATTCTTTTAGTTGGTTAAGGTAAAACCACTCTGTTTTTTTTTAAACAGCCTAAAATAATCCTTGTGCTAAAGACACATATTTGGGGTGGGAAACTCCTGCTCCCCTGCAGTGTCCTGGCAGAGTTTTTAGATTTGAAGAAGAGGGCAATGGTTTGCAGAGCACAGAATAAACTTACTCTGTTGTTCCCAGAGAAAGAACTAGAACCAGTTTATGGAGTTTTAGAAAGAGTTCTCTTAAAATGGTGAATATTTATTCTGTAATTTGAAATCATCATAAATCAAGCATAAGTCAGATGACATCTGTGAAGAATATTGTAAAAAAGATTGCTGCTTACCATGGGAGATTGGTCTGAGTAATCCCTATGGCCTTCTTTCAAATCTGGTTTTTTTTGTGGTGAATGTCAAATAAATATTTCTCTTTTTAAATAGGACACTGATGAAATTCAAGTTAACTATCCTGGAATGTTTGAATTAATGGAAGATTTACAAGGTAAGACACTTGGGAGGCATATTTTGAGAACCACACTATGGCCAGCCCTGGGCCTAAGCACTAGAAGTACCTTGGTGAGAAAGCAGGCTGTATTTATGGAGCTTATAATATAAAATGGATGAGGCAGATATTGGGCACCTGCTCTAAAGATAAATGTTAAATTAGAATTGCTAAATTAAGTGCCATAAAGTCGAGATACACAGTGCTATGACTGCCTATACAAGGACAGCAGGATTTTCTTGAATGGTGCATTTGAGGATGGTAGAACACATCCCTGACTTTCTTGAGCAACATTTGGCAGTTCAGGTCTAGGAAAAGAAGGCAGTAGTTGGGGTTCATGTAGGATTGGGGTTTGCTAAGGGGATAGGTCCTGGTCTGAGAGAGTCAACAAAGTCTTGTCTGAAGGGGTAGTGATTATGCTATAAAAAAATAAAGATGAGTTAATGAGGTGAAGAACAGAGGGAAATGAATCCCGGGCCTAAGTGAATAGGGGAGGAAGTGAGTCCCAGGCCAGGAAAAGAGCATGTGCAAAGGCCTTGTTGCAAGACAGAGTATGGCAAGAATTGAAAGAAGGACATTTTGTTTAGAATACAGGTAGTAATGAGAAGAGTTGCAGTAGGGTGCTACAGTCCATGTTAGGATGGTTTGTCTTTATCTTAAAATTCCCTTTGAGGATGGGGGTTCAGATATCAGATTTATCTTTTGAAAAGAATGGATTGGCAAGTAAACTAGTAGGGAGACATACTGCAGTAAAACTCTGTGGGAAGTGATGGGAGTTTAGACTAAGGGGGTGGCAGAGGAGATGGAGAGAAGTGAATGGATTCTAGAGATGTTTAGTAGGTAAATTTGGCAGTTCTTGCTGGTGGATTACATGTGCTCTGATAAAGGAGAGTGACATTTCAAACATGACTGCTGTGTTTTTAGCTCACAGAACCAGATATATGGTGCCCTTCATCTGTAAACAGTAGAAGATGAAGCATGGGTAGGGACAACTCTTGAATTCACATTTAGGTGTGTTGTGTTTGAAATGGTTTGAAATATCTAAGAGATATCAAGTAGGTTGTTGGGTATGTGGGTTAAAAAATTGTGATTTATGCCCTGGCTGGGTGACTCAGTTGGTTGGAAATTTAACTGATGATTTTGGAACATGTTAATAGATGTGATGGAGAAGTCCATTAGTGGTAAGGAGACTAAAAAATCTTAAAGGCCATGATACTTGATGGTTGGTTATTAACATTGAAGTTACTCATGTTGGTGGCAGAACTTGTGGTACAGAGGGAAACTGAACCAAGTGGCAGGCCCTTTAATGAATGAAAGGATGGACTGGGACCCTGATGCCTGACAGCAAGCAGGAGTGGGGGAGGGTTCTGGCTATACAGTGTGGGTCTCAGCAAGGCAACGGTTTTTCATAGAGTAGAGCAGTAATGGTCTGGAAGAGGCTTTGAGCAGCTACAAGGACACTGACTCTATCCCCGACCTATGAAAGAGGTGAGGTATGCAAAAAAAGACATCTACCACCAAGAGCTACTGGAAAAGTGATTTCTCCAAGGAGAGCCCCAGCTTACCTCAGTGAGAATTAGTGAGGTTTGATTTTTTTTGCTTCACAAATGGCATAAGCAATTTTAATGAGTGCAGGAAGCTGAACAGGCTAAAGGTCTGTTCTGTGAAACCAGAACTATGTTTACCCAAGGGATCCTTAATCTGAGTCCTGAAAAATTAAAGATGATTTAAAGCAAGAGGATGATAAAATAGTTTGTTTACAGATTTATAGGGTTTTTTTGTGAGCGTTATGGCACTTTTCTCAAAAGCCTTTTGGTAACTACTTCCTTTCTGTATTACAAATAAGAAAGCTGTGGTCTAAAGACAGCATTTACCTCCCAGCGGAATTAGGTGTCAAAATCTTGCCTTCTTGACTCCTGCGCTGGAACACTCCTACTTGATTCTACTGCTGGTTGTAACTACCCATTTGTAACAAGTCCATTTTACTCATTGTCCAGACTTCTTTAAGAATTACAAAGGGAAAGATGTGTAGCCAAAAACTTACTATTGTAGTAACTCTTTATTTATTATAGTTTAATACAGGGATTGGCAGCCTTAGCTTGCAGCCCACGGTGACAGGGTACCGATAATAAATCCCACCCTCCCCCCAAGCATTGCCCTACATGCTCAGCTCCCCTGATGTGATCACAAAGCCCCTTCACCTGAAAGCTTGAGAGAGAGTGGTATGCTGTAATTTATTGTTCAGACTGTAATAATAAAAATATTTTTCAAATACAGCATTTATTTTTGTTCTGGTATACAACAAATGCTATGCTCATGATTCATTTCAAGAAATAAAAGAGAAACGAGAAAGTAGACCTAACAGTTGAAAGAGGATGCTGCCCACTGACTTGAAAATACAGTACTTACTCTATGCTATGTGCAATTTTATGATATTTCCTAATATCCTAATGTTACAGATGAGCAAGTTCAGACGAGTAGTTAAGTTATCTTGTCCGTGGCCACACTAAGTCTAGAGTTATGACATGAATCCGGAGTCCTATATTGCACACTTGATCTGTGTTGGTTTTTTTAAAGTAAAGTTAGATGTTCAGTAAAATGCATTAATCTTAAGTATACAACTGCTTATATTTTTAACCACTGTCCAAACAAAGGTCTACAACATTTCTAGTCACTGGAAAGTTGCCCTGAGCCCCCTACCAGTTGATAACCTGGGTTTTGAATTGATCCTTATTTTGAGAACTGCTGCTTTTTATTTACCTTTCAGAAGTTTTTGCGAGTGCTCCTATTTCTACTGTAAAGTCTTTTACACAAATCATGTGTTTTAGTCTCAGATATTTCCTTTTCTTAGGCGCATTAGGAGAAATTATTTAAAGATAACTTATAAAAGTGATATTTAACAAAAAAGATATAAGCATTAACTGGTTGATTTTATATTAACTCACTTATTGAGCATCTATCATGTGCCAACCACTGGGCTAATGATGGAAGCACATAGTTTCTGATCTCAGAGAGCTTACGACACACAGAGATAGACAGACATCTGTATTTAGCTGTAAAATGAGATGACTGTTTTTTACAATATAGGGAGAAATGAGAAAAGGCCCCTAAATCTTAGGAAGTAAGGGATGCTTTGTAGAAGCAGCAGTACCTAAGCTAAAATGAGCTTGCCAGGAGAACAAAGGAGTGGGTGCAGGTCTGGGGGCAGGGTGGGCATTGTATCCCAGGCCAAAGAAACAGCCTGTGTAGAGTTATAGAGATGTAAGAGGATACACACCTCCCTAATAAGGAACTGTACAGTAATTCAGTATTGCTTGAACATGTAAAATGGGGAGCTGATCGAAAATGATGCAGGATAGTATAGATTTTATCAGGTGAGCCTGGTAGTATCTTGGAAAAATTTTGCCCAGAGGAGAGACAGTCAAATAAGTGTGTTAGATGGCTCACTTTCCAGCACTGAATCTGAGTATATTTTATGAGGAAGGTAAGACAAGAACTAGCATAGTTAACCTCTCTTGTTATGCATGAGGAAATCAAGGCACAGAGAGAAGTAACTTGCTCATGGCGTTGTATTTAGTAAGTGGTAGAGGCTTAACCCAGTGTAGCAGCCTGACTCAGATCCTGAAATCCTTACCATTCTCCTGATGAAAGGTCAGAGGGAACTAAGATAGGAAGAAAAGTAGTAAGGGGATGAGGAGAGGAAAAGCTTGGGAGACTTCCAGGTGTGCAGCTTTGCAAACTGGAAGATAGTGCTACCTTCAAGTTGGTTTTTGGTATTTTACATTGCATTATACTTTTTTCTTGGTGGTTGTGGTGTTTCTCATTTAAGCTGCCATTATTATTAATTCACAGAAAAAAGTCAAGAATGTTGACCTAATTTTACACAACAGTTGTATATCAGCAGTGAATGCACGAAAAAGTTTTGGAGGCTTTCACAGTAGTTTTAAGGTAAGTTCAGTTGCTGTTGTTGCTTTTTTTTTCTTTTTTTAGACAATACTCAGTATTGTTCCTAGTAAACCAGAATAAATTATATATTTTTTAATAAACATGTTGAACTTCACCTTAAAAACACTGTGAGAATCTTAAACAGTTACCTCCTGCTGGATTTTTCTGTTAGGCCAAAGCCAAGAGCTGGTCAGAAGTCCCCAGATGTGTTTTCCAGGTCTTCACTAAAGGTTCCTCAGAATGCATTATGAAGTGTTGTCATGCCGTTTTGAAGATCACAAAGCTGAGTTTAATAGAGGCTAAATTACTTTGCTCCCAGTTGTAATAGGATCAGAACTGGAATTGTGATCCCAAATTCTAGGCTCTTTGCAAGGAGAAGGGAGGTTCACGATGGCTGCGCACTTCCCAGGGAGGGGCGAGTGGGCTGCCCCAGCAGCAGAGTTACTGACTGTGCTGCATAGGAATGCTCTTGAATTTCTGTGTCAGAAGGAGCATTATGCCTAGGTTAGACCTAGGTCAGACCTTCAGAAAAAGCATTATGCCTAGTTATCTTAATTAATACATCCTAATAACAATTGTTTAGAAGGCATTTCATAGAAATGCATTAAGTATTTACCTTAGTTTTCACTGGTGCTGCCTGTTAACTAATGTGCATCAGTCGTGGCAGCAGGAAGTTAAGCAGAAATGAAAGCACCACAGCCATCAGCAGCAACAGACTTTTCCAATGTGAGTCCCTGTTTACCTCTGGTCTCCTGATAGAGTTGATATTCATTATGTAGGAGAATGTTTTAAAATGAGATTATGTAGTGGGTCAGAAATGTTAGCATTAGAAGGCTTAGAGCTCATCTAGTCTGGCTACCTTAAAGACCCAAAGAAATTGGTCTAAGATCATCTAGCTGCTTCATGACAGCAAGAATAAGATCCGCCTTTTTCTTCATGATTAATCTCCTGGTTTGCTTGTCTGTTGTCCTTCATGAATTGGGGCTGTTATATTCACAGGATGAGGGACATTGCTTTTAGTATCAGATTCATTATTTTAGGGAATAATAGGAGCCTTTAGGATTGGAGAGAAGAACATGGTTTACTTATTACAGCTAATTTGTTGATTGTTTTCAATAAGGTCATTGAAAACTTAGGAGATTATTATTTTTAAACTAATAATGAACATTGATATTGAGAAGTTTATTGGTTTTCCTTTGTGAAAGTGGAAATAGAAAAGAAACTGACTTTTGCTTTTTTGTAGTATATACAAGTATATAGAGAAGAAATGTAAATATATAGAAAATAAATATAAAGGATTTTTGCTTTTGAATTTTTCTTAATTTTGAGGACTAGTTTAAAATCTGGCTTTTCAAAGTAATTTTGTTAAAGCATATGCATAAAGAAAAATCAAATACACAACACTAATTTTTAATGAACAGTAGAATCATATTAACCCTAGCCTTTAGTTATCAACTTAAAAGAAAGAAATCTAAAAATAAATTTTAAAACATTAAGGATAGTGCCCCTGAAAAGAATTGTACCTAATTTTTTCCTAATCTGGGATTAGTGAACAATTATAAAATTTGAAAACCCATTAGCTTTCATATAATCTAAGGAGTCTCAAAGCCTTTCCCAAGTTTCATGATCATGTTACATTTATGGCTTAGAAGGAGTAAGGCATTGTAGCAGTTCCCTGTCTTCTTTTGAAGATCTGCTAAAAGGGGCATAAAATGTGGCATCCTTGGAAAGGCACTTGCCAATTTCTGATAACTCACTGGAGGGCCTCTCACCTCAATTTTTGCCCAACTGGCTCACTTCAGGCCTTTGCTGGCAAGTAAAGTATGCTTGTGGGGCTTGCCTCCTGAAATTTGACTTCTCCACTTGTCTTAATGTTCAGAAGCTTCAGGTAGTTTTGCCTTAGTCACTAAGAAGCCTCTCTCCATTCTGAGAGCAAAATGAGATTATTTAGGTTATTTTACATGACTATTAGAGAATGGTATATTGCGGGATGACATCAGGTTAAATCTGTGGTATTGTTTGAGCTGTTCAGGGTATTTGCTTTGTGATCTCAAACTGCCTGTAGTGTATTTTTAGGGATGGGTGAGAGTAACTGTGCGTGGAATAGAAAAGCTCTCTTGCACCGTGACACAATGCTGGCAGCTGCAGCCGTATACAGAGGTAAGAGAGCCGAGCGGCCTGCTACCCGGACTCACTGGGGAACTTGGGGCTCGTCATGTTTATCCCTTAGAATTGCCAGTGCTTTTTCCTTTCCTTTTAAGGCACCATCAGACTTCTTGTCCTTCCTTCAAAACAGGTCCTGTAGCTCCACAGCCCTTTTCCAAACAGTCCTTACTATTTCCGTAAAATTAGCTTCTCAAGTATTGAGGATTTTTCAGGTGAGGCATTTCCAGAATCCTGTGAGCATCCTTAGATCCATTTCTCTTTGGAGGACATGACCCTTATCAAGCAGATTATTTTTCCTACTGGCATTTTTTCAGACTTTAACCATTATTTGTCTTTATAGAAATGTACAGAAATGAGGATGGTTCAGTACCTGCCACATATCAGATCTATTACATGATAGGATGGAAATACCATGATTCACAGGTAATAGTATGACAAATCACTTTTCTTAGTGCGTTTATGTTTCTGTTTGCTTTTTATTGTTCATTTAGGGAAGTGGATTTTTTTTAATTTTTACTTTTTTAAAGATTTTATTTATTTATTTTTAGTGAGGGGGAAGGGAGGGAGAAAGAGAAGAAGAGAAACAGGGCACCCAGCTCGCAAACCAGGCATGTGCCCTGACTGGAAATCAAACTGGTGACCCTTTGAATTGCAGGCTGGCACTCAATCCACTGAGCCACACCAGCCACAGTGGGGAATTTTTTTTTTAATATGAAACAGCATTAAGGGGTTTAATTAGGACTACATATTTATCTATTTCTAATCTTTCTTTAATCTTTATTTTTATTTTCAGGCAAGACCAGCTGAAAGAGGTTCTGCAACGGTGTCATTTGGAGAGCTAGGAAAAATAAAAAATTTTATGTCACAGGGGACAAAATCACAATAAATATTTTATTCAGTGTTACTGTGGTCCAGAATTTTTATCAGATATGGGTAACTACCAGATCTGAAATTATTACATGTTGAAGCAAAAAGGAACGTATTAGCTATTTACTAGCAGACTTATCAAACAATTAGAATAACCTAAGACTGCACTACATTTAGTAGCTATTTCAGTTTCACATTGTTTCTGTTCTCACGTAGATACAATTATCCAGTGATTGGATTGCCTTATTTGCAGATTCATCCCAAAAGCAAGAAGATATTTCTCTGAAAAACCTGCAGATATGTTCACATGTATAAATCGCTGACATGTTGGGAAAACATTACACATGCTGACATTTTGTACATTTCTCCTGACCTTATTTCTGTAAAAGGACCATAGCAATGGGAATGAGGGGAAGGACAAGTGGGTAGGTGCTCTAGAGTTCTGGCCAATTTAGAATAAAAATAGACTTTGTATAATGACTATTGTAAGATACATAAGCCAAAATTATTTGTCACATTGTTGTCTTTGTCACAAAGAGAACAGAGGTTTATGTACCTCTCCAGAGCTATTACGTAGTTTTTTATTTCAGAAGAGTGTGTACCTTTATTGAATCCTTCCTTAATTTTTTTAAAGCACCAGAATTATAATCATATTTCTTTTGTTACCTCCAGAATCCAGGTGGGACCCCTGGTGCCCCTCTTAGGATAACTAAGGAGGCAAAATCACATATAAGTGTCTACACAGTGATGAAAAGTGCTGTTTGTTGTTTGACTTTCCTTTGTCATTTCAGGCCTTTGACACTATTATTCTAATCCAAGTCTACCAATAGTGATCAAAATTATCTGGAAGTATTTAAGCTCAGATAGCTTAGTGTAGGGGGAAGAAGATAGGGAGCACACAAGGGTTAGTGCCAGGCTTGTTCTCACCAGTCAGTGGTGAGCAATTTGCTGTCCTTTACATTTAGCCGGGCATGGTCCTGGCCTCTTCTTCAGCTTTGCCTAAGTTATCATATTTGCTTCTCTCTTTCCTGTCTACCTTCCCTCTGTCAACCATACAAGCACTAAGCTCTTCCTGGGTAGGGGGCTGTGTCTTACCCTGTACATAGCAAAGTACTCAGTCCTTTACATTAGAACGGAATTAAATTATATAAAAAATATGCCCTTTGGAAGACTAAGTTACAGTTAAAAACCAGTTTTGTTAGAAAAACTCTCTTGAGTTAGGAAACTCATTGATACTAGAAGTTGGGATACTGGTGGTAGCCTTTTTGTTTTGAACACAAAGGAAAAGAATACCTAGGAAGTAGAATTTGGTTTCTATTTTTTTAAGCCTAATTTTCAGAATTTAAAGGGAAAAGGGAACCTCTGTATTAAAGTACAAACTGGTGACCGAGGAACAGAGAAACTCATCTGTGCTTCTTAAAGGACTGTGTTAAACATGAATGACAGTAGCACAATTATTTAATGTAACAGTAGCAAAATTATTTTCTAAGTAAATGTCTGCCTAAAGTATGAAGCGTTGTTTGGAAACTTCCGGAAATTCATTTTTCTGAATCATCCTTGTAAGTAACAAAACTTTTATAAATGTCGTATCAAACATGCTTCCAAAATGTGTTACATTTTTAAGCAGTGTGTGGAATACAGCCCTTTCTTTATAAGTCCACATTATTGTCAGAAATCAAGTTGTACTGCACTGCTTGTTTCTATACTGACACCAAGAATGATATTGTTTGTTTTGTGTCTCTTTTCCAACACTTATTTGCCGTCAGCTGTCAATCTCAGTACGAACAACATTCTTGGGTCATTTCTTGTGACGTGCTGTAAGATCAGAATTCAGATTGGGAGGTTTCTACAGGCAGTGTGTAAGGTAAGAAAGAGGACTCGCCTTTGGAGTAAAATGCACTGGCTTCATCGGTTCCCTTGACAAGTGAGGATTGAGGTCCACATGCCAGGCTCTTTAAGTTGTCAGTCTGACAGATCCACTGTGTGACACTGGGATGTTTTTTGGCTGTTGGGAGACTTTTTGGATTATTTCCTTGTCTTTAGCAATGTTCCAGGTTGTTGGCCTGGAGAAGTCCAGAAGTGGCAGTATGTATAAAAATGTAAATTTATGAACAGAATTGTTTGCTTTATAGAACTTTTGCAGGATTTTTTGAGATGGAAGCTACCTATTGGTATCAATTATGTGATATGATTATAAAATGTTATATTTAACAGAAGGATTAACACATGAAGTATCTATGAAACAAGTTTTGTTTTTCAAACACTTCAGTACCATTTTTATCCACTAGGTGGGAAACACAGCACAGCCTGTACTGAAGACATGTACAGATTTTATACTCTGTATATATCTCTGAAGGATGGAATAAAAGTATTTTACCATGGACTGACTTCTGTGTAGGAAAGAAATGATTATTAATTGATAACTGGGAAAAAGAAGGATACTTGGGGTGGTGATTATTATTTCTTAATAAATTATTTTAGCTTCTCTTGCCTAAGAAGAGATGTTGAGTACTTTTGTGGGTAGGGGGTGGGGGTGTTTTATTGTTGCCATTAATGTGATGTTTATCTATGGGAAACTCACCATAAGTAAACCTGCCCTTCTGGAAATTAATATACTTGAATTGTCTGCTTGGATACTTGACAGATACTTACCTTGTTAAAAAAATTAATTGAAAGTAATGGAAGGTACAATGGCTGCTGCTAAGTTAACTGATAAGGAAATACTTCGTTATCTGTGGTGGTTCTAAAATCTTTCCACAATTTTTTTGATATGCTTCTCTCCAAAAGGTGGCGCTTCCTTGCCCTCCTTTTGAGTATGGCTGCATTTAGTGATACCGCCCCCCCGGCCCCCCCGCAACAAATAGAATATGGAAGTGAACATGTGCCACTTACGGTGATAAGAGGCATTGCTTCCTCCTTGCTCTGTTGGGGATCCCTCACTCGGGGAAAGCCAGCTGCTGTCTCGTGAGGGCACTCAAGTGGCACAGTGGAGAGAAACTAGAGGTGAGGCACTGCCACTGCTGTGGGAGTGAGCCATCTCGGGGGCAGGTCTTCCAACCCTCGTCTGTCAGATGACGGTAATTCCTGCCGACACCTTTGATGGCAATCTCATGAGAAACCCTGAGCCAGAACCACCCAGACAAGCACTCCCAAATTTCTGATCCACAGAAACTGTGAGATAATAAATGTTTGTACTTAAGCCACTATGTTTGGAGTAATTTGTTAACACAGCAAAAGATAATTAATTTGCTCTCTTTGGAAAAAGTTGGGTGCCAGGCCATACTAAGTTGGTAATTTAAGTACAGGCCATAGCTTATTTGAAATTCTGTAAAATCAACATAAACCTACTATATTGCATTTGTTCTCAGGGAAAACTGGACCTTGAGGTTGACTTCCTGGTATCTCAAAATAGAACTAACCTCCCAAGTTGCATTTAGTAAGCCTCAAATTTCACTTCCTAAGAACACAGGATCAGTTTTCTGGAAGCCTCACTGGGGCTAATCCAGAATGGAACCAGAGGATTTGAGAACACTCTGACCTTGAGAATTCAGTGAGCTAAACAACTGCCTGGTTTCCTCAGTCAGTCCCCTCCATCCTTATCTGTCAAGTGGCTGACAGCTCATCAGGATGGACTTGTTACCAGACTTTCAGATGTGCTGAATATTATGGAATAGTTTGAGGGCTTTTTAAAAATTATTTTTTAGTTGAGGGCTTTTTAAAAGCCAGAGCTGATCCTGTCTTGTTAGCCATAGCTGAAATAAGGCCAAGGAAAACAGCCTGCACTTTCAAAATGGCAAATGTAGTCCATCCAGTCTCCACACACCTCATATGAGAATCTCATGCTTGTGCTCAGCCTGCCTGTTCTGGTTCCGTCAGGGCCAGCCCTGAGGAAGAATAATCAGGACAGTTCTAGTCTGAACTCTGCTCTGCTTAGGTTGGGAATGAGATTAGGGGAGGAAAATCCCACAGGACTTGCCAGCCCTTGCCTAAAAAACACTGGAAATAGGGGAGGGCAGGGACTGTGAGGCAAGTGGCCTGGGTTTAGACCTGGCCACTGCTGGTGCCTAAGACGGGGGCATTCTCCATCTCTCTGACCTCAGGATTGTCATAGGGAAAAATTACAGGTTTGGGGCTCAGTCTCAAAGGAGGCCACAGGCCTGTCTTCCAAAGTTCCTAAGGGGCTTTTCAAACAAAACATTTCCACCTTCCTCTTTTGGTTAAGGACCATGGCCATATGGAGCCCCTGTCACTGAGGGAAGCATGGGACATCCATCATGTTATGGTGGGAAAATGATCGTGAGGCATTGGGCAGGATGATCTCAGGACCTGCATCTTGAGACAGAAGGGACAGGATTCTTCTCCTATCTTACAATTTTTGAGACTCCATATTGTTGTTTTGGGCACTTTTTTTCTGTTTAGAGTTAACTTGAATTTCAGCTGAGGATAAGGTTTGAGAAGGAGAATACTGTGTTTTACTTTGGGTCTCCTAATAAAAGTGACCCAGAATGCATTGTTGCTCTAAGCTTTGGGGCCACAATGAAGGGCCCCGGACCCTACAACATGCAGCATGGGTTGCCTTTGGCATTTTGAATGGAAGACATTTTCTCCCAGGTAACAAGCATTTAGCATGTGGTAAGTGTTCCTCAATTTTGCAGAAAGCTCCCAGTTGTATAGGTGACAAGGTCCTGAGTACAAGTTACACGTGAAAAGGAAATGCTCAGGCTTCAAGTGGCCGGAGGACCAGGTGAAGAAATGCATATGAAAGCACCTTGGGATTTCTAAATCAGGTTGTCTGTGTCACTTCTTGAAAGCCAGTTGAAAACTCGTTCTCAAGGTGTCATGACAGGAGTTGGTAAAACTCTCCCTCAGAAATTTAGTGTGTACTATGCTCTTGCCAGCCAGTGTGCTAAGTCTTTAATAAGCACTTTTGTTTCATCCTCACAGCTCCCTCTAAAGTAGATAATAGTACTATTATCCCCATTTTTCATGAGTAAACAGGCTTAAAGAGGTTAAGTTCTCCAGGGTCACATAAATGGCAGTCAGCAAGGGACTTCAGTCCTGTCATGCAACAAAGCTAGTGCAATTAACAATTTTATTATGCTGCCTTCTTTTAGAGGTCAAAGTCTTCTATCAACTACCAGTCT